CAAACTCATAATAATTATTGTTTATCGTTAAAGTGAAAAAATTGGTACCATTATGTATAAATTAAAGGGTTGTTTGGGGCTTTTAGAGAATTATCAAGAAGTTTCATATTTATATTATAACCCTCCAATTATCACTAATTAAAATTTAGACAGATCTAAACCATAAAAATATCTATTTGGTCCGTTATTAACTTTTGCTAATTAAATCAAATATCAGTTTAGGCCAAGGTTTCATCTTCCTCCTGGACGCATGGTTAACAAGAGAGAGATAATAATGGAGATATAACGTAAACAAGTAGTTTGAAAAGAAATTAAAAGCCCAAAAGGGACCAAAATTACAAAAGCCCTCTTCTTCGTCTTCTTCTTCTTCGCGCAAACCCAAGCCCACTACTCGCAGAAGAGAGAGGGAGAGAGAGAGAAAGGTCCTCGCTCGCATAGTGCCTTCGAAGACAGAGAGACGAAAAAAAATTGAAATGCAAAAAAAATTATAGAGAGAGGGGGACGGGGAATTAAAAACAAAATTCGAGAGAGAGAGAGAGAAAGAGAGAAAGAGAGAGAGAGAGAGAGAGACTCGACGCACGCGTTCATGGATTCCATTCGCGGGGAGGGTTCAGGTTCTAGGTCAAAATTTGTGTAGTTTTGATTGGGTGACCGTGGGGGAGTTCGTTATTCTAAACCCTAGGTGTGAGAGAGAGAGGGAACTGAAAACTGATTTCAGGTGCTTCAGTGTCGTGCCCTAGCTCCCAAATTTTTGGCTTTGCTTTGGTTTCAGGTATTTTTGGCTTAATTTTCCTTTTTCTATGTGTTCTTGAAAACCCTAGAATCGAGTAATGCTTGTATTTATGCAAATTGTGATGATTGTACGCGTTTAGGTTTAGTTTGAGGGCCCAATGTAGACGAATATGCTCGTGCTATCATTTTCTCATCCATTTTGATTGAATGCTTGAGGATTGCGCGTTGGCTTGTGTTATCCAGTACTTATTTCATTTAAAATGAGAGTAACTGTTGGAAACTTAAGTGGCATGTGCATTTAACTGCTTATCTACACATTGTAAACTTTCACTAGATGTTTCCTAAGTGCTCCTTAGAGGAATTAATAAGAATTGTTGGTTTTGAGCTTCTCAACGAGTTCTGGATGCATGTAGATATCTACATGTGGTATAAAATCCCAGTTACGTCGTTATTAGTTATTAATAATTTGATAATGCACAATGCATTTCCTTTGTTGAACTTTTAACTGCTCCTGCACTAGATTGCCATCTTTATTCACCACATTCATTTGGCTACTAAAATTACTAGTTTAACTATATTTGTTAGGTTTGCGACTAACATAATTAGACGATTGAGCTGAATTTTACCAATTTAATCTCCTAAGATCACGGTTGGCAGCTGGAGCTTTTGAAATTGTAATGGGTATTTATAGCGGATTTGGTATCTTAGTAAAACAGATTAAACAGAAGTAGGTGAAAGAATAGGATGTCAAAGTTCATTTTAGGCAGTATTATTTAATCTTCTTGAATATTTTTTACATAGTTTGGCGATGTGTAATTCAGTCATATTTTAACGTGAATGTTTTTTTCTTTTTTTTGGGATAAGTAACAGTGACTAGTTGCTATAAGTATGGAAGCGCATTGTTGCATGATGAGTTTTCGTTTCTCTTTGTCATAGCAAATACCATTTATGTATTTAGTTCGGTTTTGCTGCCTTTATTACGTTAACCACATTTACGATATGGTGGCAATCATTTAGTTTTTAGTAATTTTAGACATCTAAATGTTGTGGTTGCTGAGAATTAAAATTGATGCTGGCGTATTGTTGTAAATGGAGAATGTTTTCTGCTTAGACTGAAATGTTTTAGTGCCTTTTCTTTCTGATTTGGGAAACTTGCTTTACTACCCTTTACTGAATAATCATACT